AAGCAGACCCCGCACTCCCTGCACTGTATGTCATTACCATGTTAGGATGGTTGATCGGTCTGGGCGCGGTGTATTCAGAGAAAAGGAAAAGGCAGGACTCTCGCGTTCACCGACAAATGTTCACCCAGTTTGCCTCCACTAACTGCTTTCCCCACAGTTTACTGAAAAGCAACTACAGAGAAAACTTCTGACATTTCGCGACTCCGCCTGCAATGGTTGATTACAGGTTCTATTTTTGGCATAGAAAAAAAAACTTTTGGTCTCTTGAGTTTATTACTTACCTCTACGGCGCAAAAGTTAACGGATTTGCAAAAAAAACCTTTGTAACTTGATTAGGTTCTCCTTTTACCGACAATACTACATTATCTTATACTTGCACTTACCTCACTTTCTGGAAGGCAAAAGACAAGTTCCCGTTCTCTGAACAGATTTAATTAAACCCTTTCTGGTCTTTATAAATTGTCCTTTATAGCACAACATGTACAGAGAAGAAATTTTGGTCCGCAGCACTTAATAGCGTGGGAAATTTTTTGGATATCAACAAACGGATTTGGCCAGATTCTGCCCATATTTGCCTCCAATCTACTGGTCTGAACTGAGCTCTCTTCTAGTAAACAGCATTTTGCGATTCAAGTTAAATTAATGAAAAAAATAAACAACATTTAATGTGTGTAACATCCGCCACTCAAATTTTCATTTTCCCATCCCATCAGCTATACAATCCACTGTATATCTAAACTGGCGCATTTGTACATTTTGGATAAATTGTTTGGCCTGCGCCAGTTTTCTCGACTCAGTTTTGAGATTTTTCTCGAACTGCTTTTTTAGTAAAATAGCACTGAGGATGTTTGGCACGTTTGGCGTCCTACCTGGGTTATAAAATCGCAAAAACGCCAGCCAAATGATGAGTTGGCGCAGCGAACGATTGTTTGCAAAGACCCCAAATTGTGAAATTTTCTTTTTGAGAAGAACAGTTGACCAGCAGATGTAAGCCTTCCATAAATTCTCACCGGACAAGTACATTTTTACGGCAACGGTGTCAGCGGTAAAATGTGCTGCTTGTCATCAGAAAAACAAATCTTTCAGCCTCTGCGCAAAAGGTACTAACATTAGCAACTGCCAAAATCTGGAGGATGCTCGAGGCAACATTGCATCCTGCCCGTGGGTGGTTCAGTGCAAATGCCATGGAAATTAACATAGACAAAACATAACGTAGTATGACACACAATCTTATATCGCAGAAATGTTTCTTTGAAATTAAATTTTTCTCCAAGAGTCCTAGATATCATGTTTCAACCGAAACATTTCTACGAGATTGCGACCGCTATTCTTGTATAGTTTGCTTATTATTGAAGCTACATAGTTCGGAATCATAAAATT